TTCATTCCAAATCCATTGTGGTGGTGTATAGAGCCAAAGATGTTAGAATTGTGTCAATGTCCCAATATTTCTGGACCTGACTGTATATACCTGGGAACTTCTTGATTCATTTTTATCACAGAGACTCAAGTGGCCTCAGTGACATAGAATACCTTTTTCCAGTGTTGGCTGATGTGAAATTGCCAGTCTTCTGATATCCTCTGATATGGATTGCTATAATGCCATTTATTTTTGGTTATTCATGAAAATAATCCTGAAAGTATAGTTGATCTAAACTGCAGCAATCAGGACACTGGTAAGTACAGCTATCAGAAGTCGTATTATATTGAACTTGAAAGACTTGTCACTGGGCCAGAGTCAAGGTACTGATACTGAATTACAAAGGTCTAAATATTTTGGGATTAGTTATGAGAAAAGTGATTCACTCTATATCTGTCCATCTTTATTCTTGGATCAGAGGGGAAATTTTCTTTTGTGCAAGCCTTTGTATTGTTGAGGTAGCATACTTTTTTTTTTAAATACGTTTGTCAATTGCTAAGGTCCATTGGAATAGATGTGGTAGGATTTGTGGAGGTTTTATTCATATTTATTGCTATTTGGTTTTAGTTGTCTTGACACTTGTTATTCATGTAAGTCATCCTTAGTTTGAAAAGAATAGGAGCAAAAAGTTTGGATAAACTAAACAGATTAATGTATATACAACAGCATTACCTGGGACATTTATATAATGGCAAGACACTAATGAATTAAATGAGTAAATACATTTGAATTTTACAATGATCATTTTCAGATTGCTGTTTACATTTGATCATTGAAACTCAGTGGCCTATTCTATATTTTTCTGTATAGATGCGTCAGGGCTGCTTTCTGGTGAATACAGCTCGGGGAGGTCTGATTGAAGAGAAGGCTCTAGCTCAAGCCCTAAAGGAAGGGAGGATCAGAGGGGCTGCTCTTGATGTCCATGAGTCAGAACCTTTCAGGTAACAATTACACTATCAGGCCTTTGTCATTTTTCAATAGGATACATATCTCTCTGCATCTTAGAGCCACCAGCGATCATAATCCAAAACATGCCTGTTTCTCTACATCACAGTTTTGCTAATGGGCCCCTAAAAGATGCTCCCAATGTGATTTGTACTCCTCACACAGCCTGGTACAGTGAACAGGCTTCTATTGAGTCGAGAGAGGATGCGGCTAAGGAGATCCGAAGAGCCATCACAGGTAATTGAAAAACCAGCTCTGTAGTTGCTTCCCAAATGACTTCACTGGACTAGGTCTGTGTAATAGCAACAGGTTATGCACAATTTTGTGCGTGACAAAAAAAAAGTAATTTTTTGTCCTTCCTTGATTTTTTTTTTAAATTGAGAGCCAATGGGCTCTATTTGGTAGTGTTTTAAATGCCATAGTACCTATGGACACTGCTTTTTTGATCCCTAGTTTTGACTATGAATGTTTAACTTTTTCAAGTCTGGGGATTTTTTCAAATCTGTTTATGTGCATATATAATCTTCCTTGTCTTCCTTCCAGTGACCACTCTAAGTCACTGGTTTCCTGTTGCCATTGGCAATAGGAAAATAGTAATCTGGCCAGATAACTAACTGACCAGAAGATTGCTTTGTTCCATGTCATTAATGGCAGAAGGAATAAATGTACAATCTCCTTTGAGTCCAGCTCAATTCTTGGTAATTTCATGGGGACACAGTTTTTTTACAAGAGTCCTAAATCAGCTTCCATCTGGGATATCTTTACTCCCAAGGCTCACTTAAGCCCTGGATGTTCCTTGGAAGTCTCCCATCCAAATCCTAATCAGGCTTGATGCTGCTTAGCTTCTGAACCCAGAGAAGGTCAGCTAGGTGCTGCCAGCAGAAGAGCCACTTATCTTTTTCCTCAGCTACATCTCCAAGGTTGAATGTGGTTGAATTGTTCATTTGTAAGGGTTTTTTAAAATCTTGGGTAATAGTAGGAGCCACTTGCCTGTAGGACTAAAGCAGAAGTGAGCAGGCCCACACCACTTTCTTATCTCACACACTTCATTCATAGGGAGATGCATGTCCATTCTTTTTCTTTATCTCTCTCCCTTCATCCCCACCCCTTTGAAACAATTGTGGAGAGTTGAGTGTCAAGCTTATTTATATGCAGAAAACAATTTGCAGAGATCACAGTGCATCGTGAGAGAAAAATGAATCCTTGCCTTTTCAGTTGTAAGCCCCCATCCTGGCACAGTAATATCTTTTTATTTTTTTAATTACAATCTACTCGTTCAACTGGAAATTTTTTTTAAAAAATGTAATTACTGGAGAGAGGGAAAAAGAAAAATCATGAGCCAGACTTATACATACCCAGTTTAGAGTTAGCTGCTGTCTTTGTAAGGAGTGATCATCTGGACATTTGTTTTAAATGTATTGGACTCATAAGGTACATAGCAAGGGCTCTTTTTATGACTCTTATTTTGCAGAGAAAACAACTGTCAGATTATTAATGTGTGCATGATTTGCTGTGTTTTTTTTTCTTGCTTTGTTTACCTGCCCCAAAATTAGCAAGGTAGTCAGGGGAACTTTTGATATGTTTTGGAATGTATATAAGCATGGATATTGGCATAATCATTTTCTTCATTTGTGGACTTTGACATAGGTCACATACCTGATGGTTTGAGGAACTGTGTTAACAAGGAATACTTGCTTTTAGCGGCTCAGTGGTCTAGCATTGATCCTGCAGCTGTACATCCAGAGCTTAATGGAGCTACAGCTTACAGGTGAGATACATATAACTGAAATTTTTAGCAGTGAAACCTTCAAGGGGTGCTTATCAAAGTGACTTGCAATTACGATATGTTTCTTCTTATGACAGGTTTCCTCCTGGAGTAGTGGGAGTAGCAACCTCTGGGCTGCCGGAGCCACCAGTTGAGGGAATTGTAGCTCACAGCATTCCCTCTGTGTCTCACTCTGCACCACATACTCCTTCTCCAGGAGAGTCAAGCAAATTGGAGCCAGACAGAGAAATCTCCACTGACCAGTAGCACCTCTCTTGTCTTATTCAGCCCTTAAAATGAAACAGGGAAAAGCTCCTGTTTTTAGGACATATTGTGACACCCCCTCCTCTCCTGGACTGCTTCCTCAATGGACAGGAGAATGCATTTCATTGTTGGCAAATTCTAGCTCTTGCCTTTAAACAGGTATTTTTATAATGGATTTAGTTTAAATCTCTTGGTGAATCTCTTTCCTTACCTGGGGCAATGAAGTAGTGATTTTTCATTATTTTGGTAATGCTTAGTTTTAACATGCAAGTTCATATACCCCTGCCTCCAGTATGTGATACAGAGGAAAACAGTACCGAACTGAACAGTACCTGGATGAACACATGAATTCCAGTGATTTCTATGACTGGTGTGGTTTTTAAGGTGATTTCTTAGGTTGAATATCAGTTAAGTCTCAGGTACAAGTAATAAAAACACTGTAATGGGATAGGGTGGGGGGAAGCTGTGCATCTGGATTGCTTGATAGAAACAAGTGGAGTCCTTGCTCAGTTGTGAGCACTTACTGCTTCAATCCTTCCTGCATGCATTAACTCGATGTGGTTGTTGAATGATTTGTTCCCAGGGGCTCTGGATAAATAATTACAAAGACCAGAGTGGATGTGGAATTCTGCCTGGAATTTGTGCTTAAAAACATTTACAGAGAATCAGTTGAATTGTTTTAATAGTTAAGATGCTTGGGGGGTTACAGGAAGGAGGATGGTTCAATTGAGATTTGAGCCCAGCTCAGGGAATGAGGACTCAGCTCCACATAGGGAAGTAGGAGGAGTTTCAGAGCTCAAGGCTTCATGTTACAGGATGTCTGCCTACTAATAGTGCAAACTTTGCAACAACAAAAAAGATGAAATCCTAGAATTTAACTTAGGATCAAAGTCTTTCTGACCTGTCTTTTTATAGCTTCAAAGGCCAAGCTAGGATTTTTCCCTTTGACTTTGTCTAGTGTGAAATGTATTAGGGATGTGTGCATTCAGTCTTCATATTTTTTACTCCAACTCTTCCCTGAATTCCTTGTCCTGCAACAAACACAAACCAACAGATCTTATTCTCAAGCCTGCAGCTAGCTATGCAGATTCTTCCTGACAGATGTAGTTGTTCTATTCTATGACAGTTTCTAATAGGTTTTCTAACTTGAGTGTGTTTTAAATGAGGCATTTAAACCCTATATAGAGGCAGAACTAGGGTATAATTTGTTGGGGGGCAGGGGGAGAATTGCTTATTCCTTAGCATATTGTCTACACAGCATATATTTCATCATGAAACAAAATATTTATTAATGTTCAGATATATTATTTTTATGTTGCTTGGACTTTTGAGCATGAAAAATTATGTTTTTAACCAGTCTACCTAAGTATACAGCTAAGAGATGAATTTGGAGAGTGGCAATTCCTCTTTCCTAGGGATTGTCTTGGTTTGGTTTGTGGTGGTTTTTTTAACAGAACTACCAGCCAGGCAATCTGGAAAAAGGTGAAGTAGATACCCGCCCACTTCAATCTGCGCTTACAGCTAAAAGTTAATAATAGGTTAGCACATTCCCAAGCTTCAGATTGTTCTTCAGACTTAAATGTCAGTGGCTAACTGGCAGGTGCATATCCCCTTTAATATGAGTGAGATACTAATGGAGAAAAACAAATCTAATTTTTGTATTGTCCAGATTCAGTTTTTTGCTTGAGATGGCATATTCCCTGATAGTATGTGTTATGTTAGAATGTAAGTTGGAAGTGTTTGATATAGTGTAAGCTCTGATAATGTGGGAGGCACAGTAGCTTTATAATGGCATGGATGATTATAATTATGTGTTTTAAATTCAGATACCTCTTGGGATGCTCAGGTTTTTTAGCAGTATCTGGGGTGGGGTAAATTAACACGTTAGTACTACATGTGTGACACTTAAGTATAGGGGGCCTTTCAGTGAACCTTCAGAGAACTTTTATTTAGGGCAAAAGCAACAACTATAGCTTTTTATGGAATCTTTGTACTAATTTCTAACCAATTAAAAACTGGAATTGAGGTCCAAGCATAATTTAATGTTATCCCCTAAGAAGGTTGAGGTACCAGGAGTGATGATGAAATGGCTTACTCCCTCATCCTTCTCCTCCTATAAATTTTCTTTACTTTCTCTTTCCCATTCTAAAAAATTAGAACCGTAACACCATTATGCATGTAGCCAGGGTTGGACAGCTCTGAACCAGGGTAAAGATGGCAAAAGGAATGTATATTGAAAGGAATCATAGGATGTGATGCTACAGCTTATGTAGTTATGTTTGCAGTGTCCCTTGAAAAACTGCTCTCAAGCTGAGTAACAGCCAGATTTAATGGTGTGTATTGATGTTCATGTTCCATGTATTGAAGTGGAAAAACTAATCTACAAAATATAAAAGATGTATGTAGTTGTTTCCAGTAGGCATATTTGAGATGTTTTGTTGTGACTGAGAAGGCATAAAAATGGAGGGTAAGGGAAATGAAAATTAGATTGTAGGAAATAGTAGCCATAGAAAAAGCAGAGAACTATGAAAGATCTTGAAGCCCTAGAATGCCATTTTTTTTTAGTTCTCGAACTTCACTAGTTGATAATACATCAAGTTGTTGGCTACAACCATAAGAGCATGAATATGCTTTAAAAATGAAAGCTGGGATTCTCAGGATATTAAGTTTAACTAAAGATTCTATACTTGTATGATGTCAAGTATACACACTGCCCTGGAAATAAGCCTCTGTATATTCTTAATCTGATATTGGTGTATATTTCACTGGCCTCTTGCAACCCATATGATATCACTGTGGCTTTATAGCTGCTGTTTTAAGTTCTAATGACCCATAGGTTGAATGTTCCAGCCACAGGTGTCTACAGCTAGCCACAATGATGCCAAAAGGAAGAAATGTGCATTATGACATCATGACACAAGCTCCATGCTTTTGTACTTGCACTTACATTGCAATGCACATTTCATCACTTGCCTCCCTTTGTCCACCCATGTATGCCTATGATTCCAGCTGTAGAGACTTGGGAAGTAAAAGCCCCAGAATCATATTGTGTTTCTAGCAGAGTTCATCGGCAACTGCTTTGTTGCTGACTGTTTCTGTCTTTTGTTTTCAAAATTTCTAATCAAGGTTCCAAGCTGTGGGATTGCCCAGAGTCTCCTATCTTGCCTGTTTCAGGGAATAGTGTAAGATACACTCAGTTCATGGTGGCAGCCTATATTAGTAAGCAAGATATTTTTTACACACGGATACCTCTAAAGATTTATAAGATAAAACCTCCAAAAGGAGAAAAACTGGGAAGATCTCAGCTGGTTCAAACTGAGATGTTTGTTTTGATTAGAAACTATGCTATTTGGCATATTAGAAAAACATTAACAGTAGTAGAGTTGCAACAGTCACCTATTGCTGGTGGAGCATGATTTAAGTCTTAAATCCTCAAAAATAACCAGTATTACCCAGACCTATATTTGGGAATTTAGAAATTTTGAGCTTACCAGAGTAGCATTAAATATAGATTCATATCAGGTTTTAAACTTTAGCTAATCAAGCTTCTGTTCCAGAAAGCTGGACAGGCTAGATCTGATGAAAGTGCTCCAGTTGCACATTGTGATGTTTTTGTTTCTTAGAATTAACATTTGCCACAAAAAGGGGTAAAGTTGGACATAAATGCTAAAAGAGAATTTTCCTCCTGATACCAAACGTTATTCAGTAACCCCTTAATGTGTTTAGACATGCAGCTCCCAGCTCCAAGTTTTATGCATGCTAAGGAAGAAAGAAATTAGAATAAAAATTCATTTTAAATCTTCCTTCAAAATTAATGTGGAGCTTAATCCCAAAGAATGTCTTTTCATAATGTTATTGAGACAGGAGTGCTCTGGGTCATGCCAAGCTTAATCTGCAAGAGGAGTTCACTCTGTCCTATTCTGCTTGTCAGATTTGCTGTTGCTGACCAGCTTTTTTTTTTATAGAGGACTCAGAGTTTCAGAAATATATTTTTGTAGACAATAACTAAACTGTGAAACTTAATAAGGCATGTAAAAGCATTTCCAACAATGTTTTCCTGTACAGATGTTTCTCCCTTCAATTCCCTCTTGGCTTTTGTTAGAAGTTTGACAGTTTCTTGAATATATTTTAATAAATATTTCGTTTACGGTTATGTGAGTCTTCTCATTTCAGTGTGTGGCTGCTTTAACTAATACTGATGGAATCTTATATCTTTAAGTGCTGTCTTATTGTCTAATTGTGCAAGTGTACATTTTCTTTTCCTTAAAATGAAAAAGCTAGTAAACCTAAGGATGGGTGAAGATGTAAAATAAACCTGCTATGATGAAGGTGCTGTTGATGAAGGTCCCAAAACAATTCATGGTAAGCTGTAAATGACTGTGTGAACATTGAGTACTCAAACTTCTCCCTTTAAATGCAGCATCTTCCACAATTTGTTACAGAAAACTGATCTTTCTGTTCAAAAGTCAAAGTTCACTTTGAAGGGAATGGTAAAGACTTGTAGCTGTAGAAGATAGTCATGTAAATAAAAGAAATGAGAGTTTTTCACAAAGAAAAATACTACCCCCAAAAGTTAATTTATATAATCTGAAAAAAAGAGATTCTTTTAAACAAATACACTATTTTGAGAACATAAAAATGAAATGCAGTTTTGGACAGCTATAGTCATAATCTCAATCTTTGGCTTTGTCAACAAAATAAAACACTACAGTAGTCTTCCTGCTTTAAAAAAGCTGGAAGCTACAGTAGTCTTCCTATGCCTCATTTCCCAGAGAGTATTGTCGACAGTAATTATCTGAGCCAGTTTGGTGTAGCGGTTAACGCACCAGGCTAGAAACCAGGAGACTCTGAGTTCTAGTCCTGCCTTGGGCATGAAGCCAGCTGGGTGACCTTGGGCCAGTTGCTTTCTTTCAGCCCTAGGAAGAAGACAAGGGCAAACCACTTCTGAAATCTTGCCAAGAAACTGCAGGGACTTGCCCAGGCAGTCCCCAGGACTCAACACTGACCCGAAGGCGCATATGCACAAAAAATTAAATCTTAGCATTTTCCCTACCATATTCTGCCATAACATGCTTGAGTCATGTGAACATGCACTATATGAGTATTCATGAAAAGCGTATCAATAGATATTTATAATGATAATTTATTACCATAGCATCTAAGTAATAAGCTTTTCAATACCAACTCCTCGGAGACAAAATTGATATACCTTGGTTGCACTCCTGCCCTCCCATTAACACGTGGACTGTTACTGTGAAACACCTGCCGGACTAGTTAGGGGGCCGGGCCGGGCCAAGGGGGCGCGCCTATGTGCTTTTATTCTGTAGAATGCAATACCCCCTCTGCCCTCTTACAGGGAACGCCCGCACTAGTTTAACCACCAAGAACGAAAAGGTCAGCATTGCATGCCGGGAGCAAAAAAGTAAATAAATAGGAGTTTGCGCGTTGCATTTTGGGAGCCCAGACCTGGGGAGGGGTTGGCAAGCGCGGGGCACGCCGGGATTGTAGAGGAACCTGCCGCGGGGCACGCTGGGATCAGGGCGGGCAGCGTTCGGGGGGCCCAGAGGAGAGCTGTCGCTGACTCGCTCGGTATCTCTGGTGGCTGTTGGGCTCGAAGACCGCGGCGTAGGCGGCTTCTGCCCGGTGGGGATGGCAGACGCGACGGCCTCCCCAGTGGGGAAGCGACTCCTGCTGTTGCTGGTAGCGGGTCCGGGCGAGGGAGAAGCGGCGGGGCCCGAGCCTGGGCCTGCTCTTCCCCCCCGGGCCTGGAGGAGGGGGGCCGTGGGGGCTATGAGTGGGGCGGTCCCCCAGGATCTAGCGGTAAGAGTCCTCAGGCGAAGGGGGGTGGATGTTCGGCTTGTTTCCTTCGCGCGCTTGTGATGCCTCTGTGTCCGTGTCGGGAGGAAGGGATGGTGGAGCTGCCTCTTTTTGGAATCCGGAGGAAACGTCTCTGTTTTTCTCCTTTGGATGAAATAACCCGGAATCCCTTCCTTATCTAGAAGCGATCGCTTCTGTTGTAGGGTCGTTCTTTGCAACCGATCTTGAATTTCAGGCGCTGCATTTATGGCAGTTCTTATTTTTCTGTTGTGAAAAATTGCATTCGGATCCGAATCCTGCACATTTGGAGAATGTGTAGGGTCCGTTTATTGAGAGACGAAGCGAGCATCGCAGTGTGGCTTAAAGAATATTTGCAGTAATTTGGCTGGCAGGTCTGCAAATTCCTTTTACAGTGGTACTGACTAGCTGCAGTGCGATTGGAGTATGAGCTTTTTTAAAAGATCACACTTTTCTAATTTAGTTGGATCTTTTATCTTAGAGCTGTGTCACTTTTAAGTTGCTTGTCAGTTAAGAATACTTTGCCTTAAACACAAAAGTCTCCAGAATTATGGGAAATTGCATCTGGAATAATGTAGAAGGGATAATCAGGACATTTTGATGGAGTTCTTCACCTTCAAACCTCACATATGACACTATAAAGGAGGTAGGACTCTGCATCTGTTTTCCTGGTTATGGGATATATTCATAAATTGGCTTTAATTGTTAAGTGCAAGACACAGTTTGGATTTCAACCTCTAATGTCATATTCACTCATTTTTCAAAGGACATTTAGGTGCATTGAAAAGAAAACTAAGCTTCAGTAGCCCTACCCCACCTCTCTCACCCTTCTTTAAAAAAGAAATATGATTGAGTGGTTAAAAATTAGAACTTGTTTCAAAAGATTTATAAAAA